GAAAATAGATAAACAAGATGAACTGAAGCACCAGTAACAACAGAAATCTCAGTCGAAGATTGGTTTAATAGTTCAGTTGACAAGTACTACATTTCCTATAAACAAGTTGAAATATCATCTATTTATAAACCTAGACAACAAATATCCTCTCTATAAAGTATTAGGAACATTCTGGAAACATTCATAGCTTTGGATAGGTTGAGTTATGGTTCCACAGCTTTCTTGTTGGACAGGCTGAGATATGGTTCCACAGCTATCTTGTTAGACAGCCTGAATTATGGTTCCACAGCTATCTTGCTGGACAGGCTGAGTTATGATTAAACACCTAATTTGTTGGACAGGCTGAGTTATGGTTCCACAGCTATCTTGCTGGACAGGCTGAGTTATGGTTCCACAGCTATCTTGCTGGACAGGCTGAGTCATGATTCAACACCTAATTTGTTGGACAGGCTGAGTTATGATTCAACACCTAATTTGTTGGACAGAATCAAACACATTACCACTGTTTGGATCTGAAGACAAGTGTTCGTAACGTTATCAAACACATTACAACAGTTTGGATCTGAAGACAAGTGTTCGTAACGTTATCAAACACATTACAACAGTTTGGATCTGAAGACAAGTGTTCGTAACGTTATCAAACACATTGCCACTGTTTGGATCTGAAGACAAGTGTTCGTAACGTTATCAAACACATTACAACAGTTTGGATCTGAAGACAAGTGTTCGTAACGTTATCAAACACATTGCCACTGTTTGGATCTGAAGACAAGTGTTCGTAACGTTATCAAACACATTACAACAGTTTGGATCTGAAGACAAGTGTTCGTAACGTTATCAAACACATTGCCACTGTTTGGATCTGAAGACAAGTGTTCGTAACGTTATCAAATACATTACTACAGTTTGGATCTGAAGACAAGTGTTCGTAACGTTATCAAACACATTACCACTGTTTGGATCTGAAGACAAGTGTTCGTAACGTTATCAAATACATTACTACAGTTTGG